CCATCAGAACTTCAATTCACCAAGGACTCTCTGAGTAGTCGTGAAAGCAGCTCTTTGATTGTCAAAAACCACTCAATTATCGATCTAAATACTCTCTCATTCGCAATGTCTCAAACAAAGATCCTGATCCTCGGAGCTACCGGTTATATGTGGGCATAACACCATTGGCATCGGACTTTCATTGTGCTAACAATATGACAGCGGCGGAAGCATCCTCACGGACTTGCAGAACTCGAAGAATGCATCCCAGTATTCTTTGTCTGCGCTTGTCCGCAACCAAGAGCATGCCTCAAAGCTCAAGGCCAGAGGCGTTGAATCTATCTTCTTCAAGAGCTTAGATGATTTGGACATCGTCAAGAAGGCCGCCAGCGAACATGATGTCGTCATCAATTCGGCATCAGCTAGTAATGACAAGGCTGCTGCCGCCATTGTCCAAGGTCTAGCAGAGCGAAAGGAACGTACTGGACGTGCGGTGAACTACATCCACACTTCCGGAACCTCCATTCTCGGCGATCAACACATTTCTGGAAAGTTCGTTGACCGTCGCATCTACTCTGATGCAACTGATGATATCTATGCGTACGAGAAGGGCCGCGGTCCTTACGGCCAACGTATCACTGATATCGTTGTGATTGAAACCGGGGAGAAGCTTAACGTCCCCACTTGCATTGTTGTGCCGCCGACCATCTACGGCGAAGGCAGTGGCCCTGTTGCGACAATTTCCCAACAGGTTCCCAACCTTGCACGTGAGGCTATCAAGAGAAAACAGGCAATTGTGATTGGAAAGGGGGATGGAATTTGGAACCATGTCCACATTCTTGATCTCGCTCCCTTGTACACTCTGCTTCTCGAAGGCATTTTGGCTGGTCGCGAGGATATTCCTTCCGGACGCAAAGGCATCTTCTTTGCTGAGACAGGCGAGCACACCTGGCTGGATGTGTCTCGTGGCATTGCCGAGGCCTTGTACGCTCTGGGCTTGGTGCCCACGAACGAGGTCAAGGAAGTTTCCCTCGCCGAGGCCGCCCACATTGCTGGAGGCAAGGAAGATCTTCTGGAGGTCACATTGGCTAGCAAGTAAGTATCTCGTCTTGGAGTCTACAAGTCGGTCAAATGGTTATTAATGTCATTCAAGTTCGCGATCCCGCGCCGATTTGAGCAGAAAGCTGGGATGGAAGCCAACCAGAGATGATGCTGATTTCCACAAGCACTACGATGAGGTGATTGCAGCTGTTGCTCAGGAGTTCCAGTAGATCTTTTCTCTATGAAGTGACGAAGTAGCGTGGTGGCCATATTCAATATTGATCTTTTCGGTGTCTTCATTATCTCCACGGCATGTCACCAATAACTCCATATAGTTCAAGAGTAACAACAATGGAAGAGCCTCAATTTTCAAACACAGCCAGCCCTATGTAGTACCCAGGTACCGTGAATGATATCAAAAAGACTCTTCTGTGTTCACTGAAATAACCCTGTTGTAAAGTCACATAGTTACCCCTTATTCATTACAACCTAGCTCCTAGGTATAGTGGCAATTGGATGCTAATTTTGTTTCAATGTTTACAAACTGACCATTATCTTTGCAGACATTCAGCACAAGACCATTTGGTTTCACAAGAGCTACGAGAAGGACATTTATTGAAACACGGCTTGGACAAAAATATTTTACCAACTACATGTATGTTGTAGGGCCAGCTCAGATCCCCGTCTACACCCCATCGCATTCCTCATTCGTGGCTAAGAAGGCGGCACAAATCACGATTAAATGTACCAAAAGCGCTGCTAATAAGAGAGAAAAAAGAAGTCTATCAATCGGGAATTTCGTAAAGATCATACAACTGACCTAAAGATCGCCAAGCAACTCCACGGAAGTCTAAATCCTATTGCAATTTCGCCACCTCGACTCGATGCCTGTATTCGGACAGGAATGAAGTCGCTCGTTTCAGTTCGTGTCATGTTTTCCAACTTCGGAAAGTGATTCCGCTCGCTTCTCAAACCTCATAAGGAGTCACGACTGATCTCTGGAAATCTGATTGACTCCTAAGGTAGGTAGGCTACGTCCATCGTGGTCGGTGCCCAGAAGACGCAAGCTGTAAGCTGTGAGACCGAGAGTCTCTCCCAAACTAGGGAATTGACGCGATGTGGATTTGCGAATATTACCTGGAGCGGACCTGGACTGTGGGGAACTGGGGAAGGCAGTCAACTGTTGGATCACTAGTCGCAAGCCAGGTTGAATTATCAGCTTCACCTAATAGGTCAACATTGGTTGGGGTATGTGCCATTGGGACTAGATGGTGAGCGGTACTTAAGGTCATACTGTTGCAGTGATCTCGAATCCCCCAAACTCGTCAAACGTTTTTCGAGATCATACAGAAGTGACCATATCCTTCGATGCGGCAAGATGTTGGACGCAGAAGTCATAATTGTCGGCGCTGGCCCTTCTAGCATTGCGCTGTCGCATACTTTGAAGCACAAGTTGGGATTAAATGACTTCACCGTAAGAGCCTCACTCCAGATCGAGGGGAATTACAGACCCATATCTAACTTTGGTCAGATATACGAGAAGACGGATGGACCGGGTGGTGTATGGAGGTCAAACACATATCCTGGAGTGTGAGTAGCAGTCCACGGGGGCACAGTTCAGGTTCATTGACCATTATTCAGAGGCTGTGACGTGCCCACAATCTTGTACTCCTTCTCTTTCAACCTGAATCCCAACTGGTCTAAGGAGCTATGTGAAGGCTCGGAGATCTTACAATGTGAGTCTAAATAAAGTTCCTGTGCTGGCAAAAACGCGATTTGAAACAATATTCTGACCCAACGCGAATCAGACATGGAGTCCACCGTGGACAAATTCGACTTGCGCAAGCACATGCACTTCCACATTGAATGTATTTCTGCAAATTGGAACGAAAAGGGGTTCTGGGAAGTCCACCTCCGAGATCTTTTAACCAATCTCGAGTATACCAGAACCGCCAAGGTCTTCATCTCAGCCGTGGGAGGTATTTCCAAACCCCGAGACACCAAGTTCCCGGGAATGGAAACCTTCCAGGGTGAGATCTTCCATACCGCTCGCTGGAACCACAGCTATGACTATCGAGGCAAGCGGATGGCCATCATAGGCAACGGATGCAGTGCAGTGCAAGTGGTTCCTGAGGTCGCCAACGATGTTGCATTTGTCAAACAGTATGCCCGCAGCGCGCAGTGGTATCATGAGCGTCCGAATCGGAGTTTCACGGCGTTGGAAAAGTGGTGCTTCCGCTATATTCCTCTCCTGGAGCGCTTTATCAGACTTCGCATCTTCCTCGCCAGCGATCGGATGGTCGCAGCCTACGGGTCCACAGTGGAAGCTGAAAATCTGCGAGCCAAAGCAGAAGTCCATGCACGAGACTACATATACTCTACGGCGCCTGCGAAATACCATCATTTCCTTGTTCCGGACTTTCCGCTAGGTATGTTTGCATGCTTAATATCTTCAAGACATCTGTTGATTGGATATAGGGTGCAAGCGTCGAATCTTTGATCCTGATTATTTGGAGACTCTTCACAACCCTAAGGTTGAGCTAGCGCCCCATGGAATCGAGTCAATCGACCAGACAGGCATTACTAGTACCGATGGTGTGAGAACCGAGTTTGACGTCATTGTTCTCGCAACAGGCTTTGAGGTCCAACAATTCCTAGTGCCAATGGAAGTCTACGGACGAAATGGGCGCAGTCTCTTCCAGCAATGGAAGGAGAATCGAGGAGCCCAAGCTTACATGGGCACCTATGTACATGGATTCCCAAATTTTGCAACCTTGTGAGTAGTTCATTGCGTAGGTGGAAACATTCGCTCTAATCATCCAGCAGATTTGGACCGAATACCTTCCCAGCCCACAACTCCGTCCTCTTTGCAGCTGAGGTACAGGTCGCCTATATTGCCAGAACGTTGATTGCCCCTTTGATTGATCGTCGCATATCGACACTGGAGGTGAAACAGACTGTCGAGAACCAGTGGGTGAATGGTATCCATGCCCAATTGCGAGGGGGAGTCTTCGAGGCAGGATGTTCAAACTGGTATATTAACAGCAACGGTCGGAACTCTGCTTCGTGGCCCGGATATGCGTCGACATTTTGGAAGCAGTCAGTGCAGCCGCAGTGGAATGTCTTTATCAAGATGCCTCATTCGCGATGGTGGGTTTTGCATCGGCTCAAACGCTTGGTTGTGACGACCAGCCCCCAAGTCTACGCCTTGTTGGGGCTCATTCTGTTGCTGAATTCGCAGAACACCATTGTGGCGACGACAGTGAGCAACGTCCTTGGTGCTGCTGGATCATTTGTGAATGTCTTCTTGGGCTATTGATCATTTTGTTAGATAATTGGTTAGAAAAACGTGTGTTTTCCTTTTTTAATCCGTCTGTCTATGATTTCCATTTGCCTTATAGACGTTATATCGTTATCACTCCTGAGTAGAGTGGCTTGGCTTCTGTGTTTTCCTTCTTTTTACGCGCTAAATGTACAAGTGAATCAAGTGAAATTATCGAATTGTGCTGAAGTTAGATAGTTCAACATCCTCAGAGGCTGCTTAAGCCTTACCCATCTAACATATGTTGTAGATGACCACTCAACTATCAACTAAGGATTTGCAGCTCTATGAGATCTCAAGTAGAGGTTCCATCACTCACAGTACCCTTGTTTTCCTGGAAGAAATACGACATTGGCATAAACGAGCTAATGTCTCCATCGACTACGGATGTTTGGTCCTCGTGGTACATGTAAAAGACGATATCACAATTGAAATAACAACGTCCTCGTTATCACGAGTTATACTTATATTCTGATATGAGAGTTCCTTCTGCGCGGTGAATCGCAATGCTCAATCTATATAGACTGTATCTGAATCTAATATGAATCTAATTTACATCAACTCCAAAACTGACTCCGCATACCACACCATTCCAAATGTCCCCGATCTAGTGAATTCCAAGCAGCCGGTATGATTCTCTTCCCCAGTAACACGACGCTCAAGTTCTCTCCTCAAGCTCAATCGCGACTTTGCCATCTTGATTCTCGCTATCGTCGCTCGCATGGGTTGTCAGAGTATGCAGCTGGATAGGCTCTTTCACAAACAAATTGTCAATCTCCTCCATGGTCAGGCGTGCAGTTTCTGGATAGAAGAGGTACAGCAATGGAGCCCAAGTGAAGTTCAACACCGCGAAGATGATGTATGTGCGCCAGGAGATATTTGTAATCGCCGACGGAACAAACTCCACAATGGCAAAATTACATGTCCAGTTCACGGCGGATGCTATCGCACAGCCACGGGCGCGATTCCTGAGGGGAAGTAGTTCAGGAGCGTAACTCCAAGGGACACCCAAGTAGCAGGCTCCAAATGCACTGAAAGTTTTGTCAGATTGGGTTGAATGAATTGAATTCTTGGGGACTCACGCCATGTAGAGGAAGAAGAAAACGACTGACGCCTTGCTGGCATTTGTATTGTTGAGAGATAGAAGAATAGCCACCAAAGTCATGCTCAGGCTTTGAACAAGACTTGTGATGATGAAGGGCTTTCGTCTGCCCCATCTATCGATGAAGAAGAATGCGTAGGCAGAGAAGACGACGAAGACTACACCAACTAAGCCCGAGATCAGAAGAGCCATGTTTGCAGCAAGTCCGACGGAGTTTGCCAAGAGATATGGTATGTAATACACCAAGGCGTTGATCCCGGACATCTGTTGAAAGACCATGATTCCGCATGCTAGGATGAGGCGTCTACAGATAGAATGGTCAGCAAAGATGAAAACAGAGAAGAGTTTTCAGAGATGAACATACTTCCTGTTACCAGTGACCTTGTTCTCCCACAATTCAGCCCACTTCAACGGTCCCAGTGCTTGCTCTGCATTCAAAGCAAGCTGAATATCCTGGCACTTGGCTACAACAGCGGGGGTCTCGGGAGTTGAAGTTTTTGATTCCAAGCAAGCAAGAACATCCGTTGCTTCATCCACTCGTCCTTGGGTGATCAGCCACCGAGGTGACTCTGGGAGAAAGATTGCCTATGTCACACAGAGTTAGGGGTTACGCGACCCGATATATAATAGCACATCGGCTGAACGACTGAGATCTCACCATGAATAATGTGGCACCCGCGAAGAGTAGTTGGATGGCAATCGGCAAGCGCCACTGTATGGAGCCACTGGTGTATGCCATCTACAGATAGTCAGTACAGCTGCCCTGCCGCGGTATCTCGGTAGAAGAGCGTACTTACCCCATAATCAAACCAATAACTCAAGCAAATGCCAAGCTGCAACAGTGAAGAAGATTGAGAGTCAATGAACATTCTAGATTCAGTAAAAATGAGAGGCAATTGTATCTTACCCCGATCATAGAACCTGAGATGGCATTCAAGCGGCCTCTGGCGTAGGGTTAGTCGGACAAAGCAACAAATTGGATTCAACATCCGGTTCTGACCTGTTATGAGAACCAACAATTTCAGAGTTCCAAGCTAGATACTTCTTAGTCTCTCTCTCTCCCAGTAGTAGAAAGTGTATAGTTCAACTTACTCGGGACTGTCGCTGTGGAGATGCCGTTTCCAACACCTGCGATGATGCGACCTGCTATCATTTGTCCGCCTGAACTGTTCAGTTGCAAAAATAGTATGTCAGTCGCTCGAATCCTCCTCATGCACGCTCCGACGGATCAACTTACAAAGTACAGGTTTGCAATATGGCTCCCACTATAACAATACTCAGACCAATCATCGTGGACCATCGTCGTCCGAGTTTCTCGCCATAGAACATCGTCATCAGACTGCCACCTAAGCAACCCAGATCATACTGGAGTAGACAGTTAGGTATGGAGCGGACTTTGTCGTGTCATTGGATAATACGTTTGCCTACCACAGCAGTGATGGTTCCCAGTTCGCTCGCACTAGGATTTCCCAGGGTCGAAAGAAACAATTTCCCTGAAAGTACACCACCAAGCACTCCTGGATATCGGCCATTAGTTGAGATGTCCACTGTATAGCGAGGAATATTCAATTTCTTACCTTGATCCCATCCAACGAGGAGAAATGCAATTGATGAGGCTGAAGACATTGCTCCAGCGAGCATGCTTCCACGAGCCCCGAAAAAATACCCCATGCTGGCAACGATTACTGAAGTCTGTAGTGATGAGCAACAATAAATTCTTATCCCTTCTCTTGGATATCAATCCATCCTTCGGTTCTTATATTCATCGGTATACTTGTCGGACGTAAATTCATAGCTTACCCCGGATTGTGGAGTCGCTATGGGATCTGGGGCAAAGTCTGAAGGAAGAAAGTATGTGAATCCTTCGACTGAGTTCGGTAAGCCAAGGCCACCACTGTCCACGCTCGATTCGATCAGCCAAAACCTTGTGAGGTTTGTTCCGTAGAAAATGACTACTTACAGGAGACATCGTTTCGAGGTGCCGAATATGGAAAAGGCGCCAAGAATATCCACCTACGGCGGCCGATAGACGCCATTTTTCATAACCCCTTGCCATTTTTCAAAACCTATAGATAGAACTGGCAGAAAAACGGCAGAATTACATCTAAACTTCTAAGTCCATCACCATCGAATACTCCTCCATCACCATCGAATACTCCTCCATCACCATCGAATGCTCTTCTATCGTTATTAAGGACTAATATTATAAAGCGATGACTTAAACTATATGATTATTAAGTACATGAATTGCCGACAGTAGTAATTCCCTCCTCTAGTTTAAATATATAGTCTCCGTCATCCTTGTAGTCGCCGACGTAAGTTCCTCCGTGTCACTGGTGGTGTAGCACGTCTTCGCTTGCTTCGTGGTAGGTCCTCTATAATAGGGACCGGGTCTTCCATAATGCTCACCGGGTCTTCCATGATGCTCGCTGAGTCTTCCATAGCTGCTAGCTGTCTTTCAATTGATATCGTAGACCGAGATGGTAGTCCATATGTCATCCTTTCCACGGTGTCTTTTGATCGTTTTATAATAACATGGAAGATCCTTGCCCCCTTCTCCTAGTTGACCAATCGGCATAACTGACCAGAAGTCCACCTAGTAGACCCAGATGGACTAGTTAGTAGGAGATACTGCGCTTCTAATGGTCCTTTCTTTGTATACTGTGTAACCGTCCTAGCTAGGAATGCCTCATCGTCGTGGTTGAATTCGAATTCAATAGGTAGGTAACCTAGTTTTTGTACCAGAGAGTATGCAAAACTACCCATAGTAAGCCATTCCACCGAAGGAATTATATTGGTAGAGATATGTGCACCTAAAGAAGTATATAGTAAGAATATAGAAGTATATGATAGAGAGAAGATAGTATATTACCTTTGATTAGTGTAATATCCTCACCATCTATTAACAAATAGAAGGATGCATTAATTGTTACCTCTTCTAGTAGGCTGCGGCAAATCCGCTCCGTTGGATGTCAAAGTCATATCCGCATCCGCAGATTGCGGACGTTGGATACCACTTCGACATCCGCATCCAACTGTTGGATATCCGCCGACATCCAACGGATGTCCGCAAAATCCAACAATTATCCGCACTAGCATAAAATTCGCTAATTTAACTTATTTTGGCACTTCATGTGACCCTTATACAGCTGACTAAGCACTCTTTTTCCAATCACATTACAGATATATCAGTATGTTATGGTTGTTTATGGTAGAATTACCATCTTATATATAAGCTACTAGTTAAAAGAATATAAAATATGAATACATTTAAGAAGAGATTCTATTCTCTTAGCTATTTATAATAAATTAATTCCTAAGGGATATAGTGGGTAGTGGTAATTTTGATTTCATTAAAGTAGCGGTTCTCGTTATTTTGGTTGATGTTAGAGATATATATTTTAGTGTGTGAAAGTTAGTGTAGATTCTATAGAAGAAGACCATTAAAAGATGAAAACGCTTAATTTGCTATAATATAACTAAATCTTCCAGAGTATAAAATCTTTAAAGCTTAAAGAATTAGGAAATATAATTTAATCAGTAGATTATAATATAAAGATATATTAAAAACATAGTAGATTTATTAGAATTGTTAGACTTCATAATTTTGAATTCGCTCTCATACGGATATTAGTTAGATATTTATTGGATATCCAGCGGATATCAACAAACATCTAATAAATATCCAATTTAATATCAACTTGAATCTTCTAATCCAATCAGAGACCTAGATAGAATATTCTACTAGACTACCTCATTAGTTATTCTCTATACTTAGATAGGGAATATAATATATCGATATTTCATATTCTAGTCGTATCTAAGTCACGGTCGCGCAAGCTACACCTAATAGTTAAGCATCCCCCTAATCTTTCTAGCCTAGTCACTTTAGTAAGTATTCGAATTCTGTATTTCTTATTTCTCTAGTTATATCCTATACCTTACTTCCTCCCTTACCTTACCACTATACCTCGATCCTAGCACTCAGATAGTTAATATCCAGTATCTCAATATACTAAGTCTTTTATAGATCCAGATATCCTACAATCGGACGACTTCCTTAACTTCCCAAGCCAAGCAGGTCGTACTATAACCTCATTTTCTAATTACTCTCTTCCGCCTATACGACACCGTTATACTATTCGTGCACCGGAATCACTTCGTCGTATCGGCAAGCACCTCCAAAAGCATTAGATCCTCTTTAACGATAACCTAACCGACCCTAATATAGAGAGTTCCCGGAAGAGTTTTGTTAAGTAGTGACTAAAGACAGAATTCGGTAAGAAGGAGGACTTACAGAAGTTAATCCAGTGGTAAAGCAAGCAAAAGACATCTAATATTTAGGACTGCTTTAATCAAGTTATATATAAGAAGACTAGTGAGCCTAAGGTGATATATAGGCGCTACCAGGCTATTCTTATTCATCCAAGTCATCGTCGGGCAGGAACGTCTCCGATAAAGATACATATAAAAAGCATTATATATACGAAGCCTTCGGGCTCAAAGAAGCAGGGCATTAATTAACTTCTACAGAATATAGTCTATCTTTCCCTTAGAGCTAGGCCCTTTAAGTTAGGAAGCCTTACTTACACTTCATATATCTTTAGCCGTATACGCAGATATCTTCCTTATTCGATTAGTCTACCTTTCAACAAAAGATTCTTAAATTTATAACTATAGCCCGGCTTCCATTTCGGATCATCGAGCATACTAGTTTCAGAAGTCTTCTTAATTACGCTCGGATTACAGACTCAAAGCTTAATATTCCCTCTACCCGAACAATACGACGACTTCTTAATACATCGGTGGAAGTCTAGCAGCGAGAGATACTCAATAAACTCCCAGATAGATACCGAATCTCAATTACGCTTGATTACTGGACATCTCTATTTAAACAAGCATTTATAGTAATCACTAGTTATTTTATTAATCAAGATTAGAACTATCATAAAGTACTACTTAGGTTTAAGCATCTCTATAGATCACATACTAGTAGTAATCTAAGTAATACTATTATTCAGATTCTATAACACTATAAGATTACCGACCGAGTATTGTTAATCACGACTGATAATACTACAAACAATAATACCATAATAATTAGTATCCAGGAGACAGTCTAGTCCCTTCTTTAATCTAGTAGCTCGATCTTTCGAGTACCCTATATTACTCATATAATCCAGCTCTACCTACAAGAGCTCCTTAGAAAGCTAAAGGCCGTACCCGAGAATAATAAAGCCGAATCGGAGTAGTTAAGTAAGCGAAATTTAGATCTCCAGACAAAGTGTTCTACTCGTTTAATCGTAAATACCCTTAAAAAGGTCTCTTTAATTCTATTCCCTTTCAATAAATTTAACTAATCACTACTATAGGTCCGAGGGTTTATAGTATTTATTAATACAAGCCTATAACGCCGTGAGGCATTCCTAGGGCTACAAAAAAAGGAGCTAAAGATTGTTCTAATTCAAGATATACGCACACGCTAGAACTTAACTTTCTTGATACTTACCCGTACGCGAAAGCTTCAATCTTGCTTTAATAAGTATTATACTATAAATCAATATACTCAGTTTAAGCTTAACGATAAGGAGTAGCACCAGGTTAAGTATCTTCTGTTAATTACTAAGCCTTTCTTTAACTTTACTAATGTCTTATCAAAGACTAGGGACTATATAGTACACCATATCTTTAGCATCTATAACAGACTCTTTACCCACCTTAAAGAGGCTAAGAAGAAGTTAAGATATAAGCGTGTATACTAGAAGAAAAGCATGCTTCGGGCACTTTAGCTAGCACAGAAAAAGCTCTCTAAATATTACAGTAGAACCGATAATAGTATATATAGTACAACCTATGCATTAGCAACAATTCTATACCCATCAAAGAAGCTACGATACTTTGATAATAAGGATTAGAGAGGTAGTGATATTAATTTCATAAGGTAGTATCAAGACATATTTCGAAATAAGTTTATAACTTATCAGAAACAAGCTTAGAGGGAAGCTCACTAACTAGATACCTTAGAGAAGATTAATAATATAGAGGATAAAGAGCTTATAATACTTTATAACTCACAACAAACCACGCTCCCCACTAATAAATTTAATGGCCGGTAAGATAAGGTTACGCGATATCTATCGAAAGGTAAGCCTCTTATTTATTTAATCTATCTACTATATCTAATAAAAAGATTAGGGCTTAGTAAGGGAAACCCACGTGTTTACTAGAAAGAATATAAGCAGGAATTCCTAGTGCTTACTAGAATAGCACGAGATATTCTCTCGATTCCTGCTAGCGGAGTAGGAGTAGAGCGTTTATTTAATTATACTCGTGATATCTACTATTATCGCCGTGGGTAGCTAAGGCTAGACATAATTAAGGGTCTAATACTTCATCACTTTTCCTCTAAATTTAAGCTAAAATAGGCAGAGATCGAGATAATTAAGGAGTATCTCTTATCTAGTGAAGCTACTATGCTTAATCAGAGCCGTCTATCTCCACCATCACTTAAGTTTATAGAACCGATTAGTGACAATAAAGAGGAAGGATGCTAAGAGGAGCTACAAGAGGAGGATTCCGATAATGATATAGATGAACTAGCGATCTCTTACTCCTTAAAGCAGCCTATAGATAGTTTAGATCTAGATAATAGTGCCCTACTAGAGGAAACAGCATTCGATAGTACACAGACCCGGACAGGAAGGATTCGGAAGAAGCTAAGGTTACCAGACGGATTCGAGATGGGGAAGCCATAGTATAACTATATAATACGCTAAATAAAGCAGTTAAACAGTGAACTAATTCGATATACTATTAGAAATAATTTCTGTATCGCGAACATGTAATTAATTCGATAATATATAATACTGGTAGTACAGAATATTACCTTAAAATCTGCATAAGATGTGTATGCCTAATCAGATCGCGAGACTTGGCATGTTTGTACTGTTTTCGAATCCGCTAGATATCCGCGGATATCCAACTTTCTGAAGCCTAACTCCGCATCCAATCCGCGCGGATAGTTGGATATCAGAATCGTATCCATATCCGCAATCTGCGGAGCGGATGCGGAGCGGATTTGGATTTTCGCGGATGCTGCCGCAGCCTATCTTCTAGTGGTAGTAGTGGTGGTATAGTTGCCTGTGGGCGTCCAATATAAGCACTGCGAACCTGGCTAGCAGTACCAGAAAGCAATTCAAAACGAGAATTAAGCTGTGATGGTACACGCGAAGCCGATGCTGGAATATGCGAAGCCGATACTGGAATACGCGAAGCCGATGCCGGAATATACGAAGCTGATGTCGAAATATCTGATATCGATGATGATAATGGTGTTGGTGTAGCTGTTGGTGTTCTTGTTGATGATGATGTAGATGAAGAAGGATCTGTAGTTGCTAATATAGTCTCTAATAGCTGTTTAAGAGTAGCCTATAGAGCAGCGAGGGGGATAGATGGTTCAGATGCCATCCTAGTAGATAGAGGAAGATAGTGAATAGAAGACACAATATGTTCGATCGAAGAGAGAATATGTACGATGGAAGAGAGAATATGCCCGAGAGAAGATAGAATATGCTCTGCCGTCTTCTAATCCTAAAAGAGTTCGGAGGCTTATGCGCCCTGATGCCATTGACCGCTCGGACCCCATGAGAATGCACCGGTAGGTTTCATACTTAGTGCTAATATAGGCAAAGTACCTGATTGGTAGTGTAGAAGGGCCCTCGCACGCATAGTCTCATATACCTTCCGATATGGCTGCTTTCTATCACCTAGAAGCTGAATGAGAGGGTCTTCAGGGTCAAACGGCTCGCCCACTTCTTGCTGGCCAATTTCTACCATTTGTAGACGGCACCAATCTAGTGTAGAAGGCGGAAGGTATTCAGTAGGATCCCATTCTGCCACATCCTCCTGGAGCCTAATAGTATAAGATAAATTAATCATAGTATACGATGAATTGACCATAGAATAGAAGGAATTAACCATAGAATAGAAGGAATTAACCATAGAATAGAAGGAATTGACCATAGAATAGAAGGAATTGACCATAGAATAGAAACATACCTCTGGAGAAGAGAAGGGTCAAAAGATTCCTTGCAATCAGGAGTATCTTCGGTAGGATAGTAGTAATTCATTATTGGTTTACCAGAAACGATATGTGGCCGCTTAGGCTGTTTACGAATCGGGTGTACATTCCATATACTGCTCACGTATGATTGAACGCGAGATCGTAGAATAGGCATGTAGATGGCAAGAAGTACTATCTAGACATTTTTTAGTAGGGATTACTAGGTAAAATTGTCGATAGTATACCTCTACTTACCTACTCAGGAATGCATTGCTTTGAATAGATTCCATCGCCTAAGAGTATATTAAAATACTCATGATAGACGAAGATACTTAACTGTGCAAGCTGCCCCCACCAGGATTCAATACGCTGATTGTCAATACTGCGCCCGTAGATAAAGTAGTTTCGAAATCGAGAAACTAATGATGATAGAGGAGTATCCGATGGAAGTGGAGGAGTATTCGATGGTGATGGAGGAGCATTCGATGGTGATGGAGGAGCATTCGATGGTGATGGAGGAGCATTCAATGGTGATGGGGGAGCATTCAATGATTCTCGTAGAGCAACATGGGCATCGCCAATTAATACCGTCTCACTACCAAGATCAACCCGAAGCTTTCGTGGTATATACCCATTCGATTTCACACAATCAAGATACTGCCGAAGGACACTTACTGCAGTACGTGCAGATATCCCAATATATATCCATATAACATATCGAGAGTGGCCATCAATTGCTGCGTAGATTTCAATACCAAAAGGTTCTAATTTCATATAGCCATCAAGATGCCAGATTGCATTAGGCCCATCGCATATATAGGCACCTCGTCGGCGTTGAAAGCCAGACCGGCGGTCATCAATTCCATCTGGGTTGATAGTTCGGTAGATTTCGTAGGCACGATCTCTATTAGAATCATTAGTAACGAATATAACCATATGACCAATTGATATGACCATATGACCGATTGACATGACCATATGACCGATTGACATGACCATATGACCGATTGATATAACCATATGACCGATTGACATGACCATATGACCGATTGACACGACCATATAATACTTACTTACCTTGCGATGAAAACTCCCTGGCTACGCAGGTGAATTTGCTGGTAACGTCGGCCATATCCTTCAATATCTCCAATCTGATCCTCTGCAGTAAGAATCCTCTCAATAAGTCTTTCCTGAGAGGCTCGCTCAGCAGCATTGTCAACACGTAGCTTAACACCAAGCTTCTGCCGTATACGACAAAGAGAACGTTCAGATGATGGTATCCCCATCTTTTGTAAGAGACGAAGGATTTCCTTCGTATCTAACGATAGCTGAAGAAGGTTATATACTATCTGATTGCGATTGATCTCATTAGGACTATCCTTTTGGTAGTAAGCCCGTGGAGTATGAAGACCCCATGCATTTCGCCGCCGATGTATAGTAACAGGAGAGATCCTAATACCATATGTATTTAGCAAGAAAGCACAGATATCCTCATTAGTAGAATTCGTATGAACAAGCCTAGTAATTTCCTCCTGGTAAGGATCAAGATTGACAGGAGGCCGAGGCATAGTATATAGTAGTAATAATAGAAGAGATCAATGGAGGATTATTTAATGATGATGGAGGAGCATTCGATGGCGATGGAGGAGCATTCGATGGTGATGGAGAAGCATTGGGTGATTGCTTAGTTATATAGGATAGTTGATGGCGGTGACAAGGGCCTGCTAGGCTAGTCTACTTATGGGGGCGGTAGTAGGGGCGGAAGGGGTTATGAAAAATGGCGCGTATCGTCCGCCGTAATCCACCCTCATGGGTCATTCCGCTGGTGCTAATTTCACGTAGCACTGACTCGGGACACTTTCCACAGAAGACCAGCTAGATGAAGCGCCGAAGTCTTGATTTCCAAGCGAAAGGGACTAGGAAAGCTCGGCCGATACCTCTCAGGCAAAATGGTTCTATTTTGTGGGTAGTTGACGAGCATACAAGACCTGATCCATAATGATCATCGCAACATCCTCCGCTACCAAACCCGAGGAATAACTGCCCTTCTTCTCCTGTCATCAGCCGAGGATGTCCCACTCCTCCTTCAATACTTGGGATATCCGTGCTGTGGGCCATTGATCTTCTATCTCGGCTTGCTCTAGCATATCGAGAATAGCCAGCTGCTCCATGGGGTTTGTTATATAACGGCAACAGAGGAACATTGCATAGCAAGCCGTTCGACGTGTCTCGCTTGTGGGATTCGATAAACAGATTCCACATATTATATGAGCATGATGGGCTACTTGGACCTGTGTTGAATGGGAGCAGGGTGAGTAAGTGCCATTTAGAACTGAGTATGGGAACAATCATTTCAAGTATACATACCTCAAGTACCTTTTGTTGACGTCGGGCATTGATGCCCATTGCGTGGTTTGGGTCGTAAATAAGGAGAAGCGCATAGCCCATGTGGTAGTAGATAATCGCCGTAACTGCAGAGCAGCCATATCAATGAATTGCCGAATGCTTACAACATGAGTGGATTACTCACCATGGCATTGTTCGAAAAGCCAAAAGTCAGGGAAGCACCTCCCAGCAGCCATGTTCCTCTCATTATAGTAATACGGTTCAAAAGACGCAGGCCGGGAGAATGCCCAATTATCCAATCTTTCACGTAGGGATGCCCATCTCTCTGCTGGATCATCCCACAGCGTGGAAAAACAAAAGCCAATTATATCGGCGACAATGAGCATAATGGCTTGGCTCCATTCGTAATCATTGGTTGGTTCCTCATTTGCCCATGTCGTGCAGATTGTTAGATCTGTTTTGATAGGTCGCTGGCCCAAAATCGCCATGTAGATGTCTTGACGGAGATAGACCCAGAAGGCTGCCTTCCAGAGGCGGCCGCTGGTAGCCGCTGGTGCCGAAGCTAGAGCGGAGGCTCCTAGTAAGTGACACTCTTCATCGTTGAATGATCCTGCAAAGGCTCAGTGTCAGCTGTCCGAGGACTAAATTGAATTGATGGTGTTAAAGCAAAATCACAGACCATTCATTTGCTCGTAAACGCGCAGAATTACAGTGGTGGCCAGGAGTATATCATCAATTGGTCCATCTGCCTGGTTGAGCATGCCAAGAATCAGTTTCACGCATTCCTCGTGGTACTGCTCTGCAACCACAATCGAAGAACCGGAAAGTCTGCTCTGGTGAAGTGATGCGACTGCCAGAATCGCGTTCAGTAGAACCGGAGTTCTCGGTGCACGCTGGTGTACCTCCAGCGCAAACTGATGATTCGCATCTTGTGAGTCGAGCTATTCCTATCGAACCGTTATTAGTCGGTGTGCGACAGGAAACCTTAGACCGGGGATGCATACGCCCGGGACCCAATGCTCCTTGAAGAATTTGAGAAGCGCTGCTTCTTCACGGCACCTCAGACCGGCATCTTCCCGAGAACGTGCATATAATTCTGAAACACCTGTCCCTGTCATCGTCCCCGCGATACTGACGCTGTTATTGCTCTGTGGCGAGGGCCCATGGTAGCTTGTCGAGTCTGCAACACTACGGATGTGCATGGGTTCACAGGTGACCGCAGAGAGGGTGGGATCTAAAATGGCATTATCTGACATCTCTGGCGATAGCTCTGCTTGAAGTGGTGGCTGGCTGGCTGAATCCAATTGCTCTTCATCGTGAGGTATGTATGGATAGACATCTTGTTCTAAGACACCGGGAGATGAAGCTGTTTCTAAATTGTCCCCGGGGCTATGAGCAGTCGTATCGCGATCATCAGTAATCAACGTAGAATGCCTGACTGGCCGAGTCTTCTTCTGGGAGGCTGCTAGGGGTTTGACCCCTGCAGCGGTTGTGAAAACATATCGAAAGTTGGCGGCCGGGTCGGCCTGGACACATTCTCGCTTTCCGCGCTTGCAGCGGTTGCATATTGGTTTAGTCTCGTCGCCTGGTATATGAGTCAGTCATCGCCGTACATTATTGAAAATATGCATGATGCGTTAGAAAGGACCTACATTTCAAGTGCCGAGACCGACAGGTGACGCTGATATGGATATGTCAGCACTCCGTCGGATATGGATGGTATTAACCTTACCAGCCAGTTCGAGTCCTCATAGTCACGAGAGTGGTTCTCAATATTTTTATGGAGCACAGGATAGTCACTTAATTGAAATTACTGGCAAAGATAGACACTGTGGATAGTATTGAGACAAGAATCCTACGAAGCCAATCTAATAGAATACGGAACGGATCAACCTATTATCCGTAATCATTACCTAAGGCTGGGGTAACCACCTAGGTGGCTCTTAAATCAACGTCCTTGGATTTGTCGGTTAGGATTTCCTGAGACCTCTAGCTGTCCAATACGAAATAAAGTTTGGCCTGGAAACTATGAGGAACGAACACGCGACAGGAAAAGCCTTCAAATATGGTGACTGTGGCATGAGGGCAGTCGTTCCACGGCCCATGGCGAGTCTCCAGCCAAATGGAGGGGCGAAGACGATTTAAAAGGAAGTGGCTAGAAGGTGTTTCTTCTTGGCATGGTTTTCACACCCAGGTGCATCAAACCAGTCGAGCTCACAGGAGACAGATCTGGCTAAGGTGAATTGATCCCACTTGACCTCCAGGAGGGTCGATACGACATACCCAATCGGGAAATTTAGCCGTGCCCTACTCCGCGCCAGGACTCTCCGCAATTGTGGGCCTGAGTGCAAGACTCATGCTCATTAGCTTTGTTGAACATCATATGGACATGGAAGTGACTGTCTGACTATTGGGGATAAATGTCAGCTGCTGAACGTGGTCGCGATGGCTGTTGGTCAATATCTTTCTATTCACTTTCGATATAGACAATCTCTCGACCTTGAATAGTCAGAACAACGATACAATGGCGCCTCATTTGGATGATAGCGAGCGAGGCTCGAAATGTGATGAGATACTGCGGAAGCCAACATGGAAGCCAGAAACAGATGACGACTATGCCGTCCTCGCAATTCGAAACCTTGTCTTTGACATGACGATGCAAAATGGCGGGGGCCACGGTGGCTCAGCGGTGGGAATGGCAGCTATTGGTGTAGCCTTGTGGAAATACGCTATGCGATACAATCCCAATGACCCGAACTGGTTCGACCGGGATCGGTTTGTCTTGTCTAATGGTGAGACTGATGAAGGCCATTAGCTATTCCTTCTATGCACGAGAAACTAATCACATTTGATCGCGCAGGACATGCCAGCATGTTCTTGTACGCGATGAACTACCTTGTGGGATACGATGCCTGGACGATGGACGAGCTGAAGGGATATGGATCTGCGAAGCTGAATGGATTCACCACTTTGTCTCATGCCCACCCCGAGATCGAATGTCCCGCGGTAGAAGTCACGACTGGCCCATTGGGACAGGGGATAGCGACTGCTGTGGGGCTTGCGATTGCTTCTAAAAACTTGGCTGCCAATTTCAACAAGCCTGATATCGAGGTTCTCCAATCCCAGATATACTGTATGACGGGAGATGGATGTCTCATGGAAGGAGTTGCCCTGGAAGGTTCGTTCATCAATCTTCGAGTGAGACTTTTTGAATTGCATTCGCTAATTGCTTTTGGAACTACTTAGCGATCTCACTAGCAGGAAGCCTACAGCTAGATAACTTAGTCCTCCTCTACGACAACAACCAGGTGACGTGCGACGGACCCCTGGATTGGATTAACACGGAGGATACCAATGCGAAAATGCGTGCCTCTGGCTGGGAAGTGATTGGGGTCTACGATGGAAGATATGATGTCAAAGCCATTGTGGCTGCCTTACACTTGGCTCGTGTCTGCCGTGGAAAACCAGTGTTTATCAACATTCGCACTGTGATCGGGACAGACACTGCATTTGCGGGAACTGCTAAGGCTCATCACGGTCCCTTCGATCGGGAAAGTATCGCCAGATCGAAGGTTCTCGCCGGAATTGATCCCAAATCCACCCGTGTCGTTCCTCCTAACATGTTGGAATTTTTCCGGGAACGTAAAACGTACGGGAGCCGTCAGCAGCGGGAATGGAACGATCGCCTTACCAGGTACAAGTCAAAATACCCCCTGGATGGGGAGCGTTTGGCGGCCCGCATAGAAGGGTCATTTGGGGATTGGGCTGCCACATTGGATGGTTTGGACAGCTTCAGGTTCCAAGGCCTGGCAACCAGAGAGTCGAATGGAGAGATCTTGGAACTTTTGTGGCAGGCGAATCCTGCTCTAAGCGGTGGCGGTGCGGATCTCATGAATTCAAACAAATTTAAATACTCAGCAGCGGATGTCTTCCATCCTGCAACAGTGAGTTACGCCGAGGTGGTCGCAATATATGGGTCAACTGACAGATCGATAGAGCTTTACTGGTAGATATATTCGACATGGCATTCGAGAACACGCGATGGCTGCCGTTGCGAATGGTTTAGCTGCGTTTCACCCCGGCACCTTCCTTCCTGTCACTTCAACGTTCTTCATGTTCTATCTCTACGTAAGTGGTTCTCTACAGCTCTACAGTCTCATTCAAATTTCCCCGTTAACATATTTTCAACTACACAGGCTGCCCCGGCCGTGCGAATGGGCGC